CCTCTGAGGAGAATGTTGGCAATTTCCTGATGATAGCACCCTACTGTAACAGGAAAGCTCTGGAAGCCAATCATTCTGCTGTGCCCATTCATGTGCGTATTTTCTTTGCGCGTGTTAGCATGGCATTGCATGGATGCAAATATGGTATGTTTCATTGTTGTTTTTGCTAGCATTCAATAGTAAAATTGACCTGATAGAACTATCAGCATAATGGCTGTATGCATGTAAGCACAGACTGTGAAGACAGACAGCCTATCCTATATGCAGCCTACATTGATGGCAGAAATCAATGTAGTTTGTGTGGTGGTGGCCTAATGACAGAAGTGCCAATTTTTATACATGATTAGCGGGAGATGGCAACCCATGGATCATGGTCAATAAGTTAAGTCTAGAGAAAACCGTTTTGTGTCAAAGTAAGGTTTTATCTCATATCTTTTTGTAATTTTCCGGGTAGAAATGTTAGTGTGGGGGGGGGAGGAATCAGCCTTGAGGGGGCCCAACCTAACATAGATATTGGGTAGTGCCCCAGAAATAATTTGAATTGACACTCCTGCATTAGACATGACAGACATCACAGATAATCTTAGATTTGCATGCTACTTGCATGCAAAGGGCAATTTTGACTTGCTGATTAAATTTTTACCAATGTTTGGATGCTAGTGATGAAAGGTATTGTTTTGTAGCCGCTGTAGTAGTTGATGTTTTCATGATCTCAAATGGAGATTTATACACCAGCATATAAAATGAATAAGAAAGGGTGGCAGCCAACAATTTTAACCCTTACCCTGGCTCGCCGGTTTTGTAACGCGGACTGGTGGAGGAGACGGTGGGGGGACTCCCCGGCGTTTGCAAACTAAAAAAGGTAAAGCCTCACAAAAAACAACAGCAACCAAAAGTGAACAACCTGGCGAGATCTCGTGATTGATAGGAAGTCAGTCTCCTGTTGTTAAGTGACGCTACCAGACCGAGTCAAAGGTCAAATTTTCCTGAAAATCAAACATCACCTTTGCACATTCATATATACGAAACCATGCATTGAAGTTGCATGGAACATAAAGAGGCGCGTCCCTGGTTTAATTAGGAGTACAATGGCATGTAGTTCTATCTGTTTGGAGCCTACATTTATAATGTAGGATTTAGTTCATGTAACAGTGCCAACCCGTGGTCCGCAGAATCGTCGCTTACCTCCCGCTGCACACGCCGGCCCTGAACCGTCTTGCAATGGTCGTAAAAACATCACTTCTCCGAAACCAGAATTGCTAGGGGCACTTTTTGGTGTGAACACGAGCGCAATGGATGCCCCACAGGTTACCAATGATTTGAGTGAGACTGCACAACATGTCGCATTGCTATCCTCAGAAAACCGTAGGGGAGGGGATTTGCATCGCCCATCCTCCACCTCCTATCAGGGAGAATAACCTGTTCAGAGAGATCTATCTTCCTGACGTGAAGTTATTGAAACATTTATATACAATTTGCTTGTTGGGGCACGGCGAAAGACGCCCAACAGTCAAAATATGTCGCGCCAGGCTTGGAGCATACCTAATGTATGGAACATAGTTTGATGACGGTTGAGACGGGGCTCGAAGCGCACTTGGAATTTTCATAAGGGGCCATGGTCTCGTGGAGGCCCCCATATTTGACGTCACTCCCAGACCGCTTGCTACTGGTTCGGAATGTGCCATGCATCCTGCTGCCCTGGCTATTGAGGTCCTTCCTTGTTTTTTTTTTTGCAGTCGTGGAAAGCAAATCCAGCCGTAGATCGAGTTTAAACGTGAGGCCCCTGCAAGTCCCGAGGATGGAAGAAAACTCCTGTTGTGATTGGACTATCTCATTAGTCTAGAGGTGTGCCTGCTTTCCTGGCAGCAGCACTTATCCTAACATTTTTTCAAGGGCAGTGTATGAGTGAATGTTTTCGTTATGTGCATGACATTGAAAATTGAAGTCATGAAAGAGATTTTCGGTGATAGGTTGATTACTGATGACGCTACTGGGCAAGGGCTTGATAGCCATCTTGTCAGATGGTATCGTATTACGCTACTGGCGACAATCACTCCTCCCAAAATTTGATCGGCGACAAAAAGTACATTTTTACCATCCCTGCTCAGATCATCCTGTTACTCGTCGTAAGCGGCCGCCCCCGGGCGTAGCCGGCCGCGCAGGCCTTCGCCTGCCGCTGGGAGCAGGGCAGGCCGGAGGGTGCGGCGCAGCGCTGTGCGGCGGCCGACGCCCCAGGGAAGTGCCCGCCCAGGCGCCGGCCGCCCGACGGCCGCCAGGGAGCCGGCGATTTGTGGGGCACGAAACAGCGCCGGTCATCGCATGCGGAGCCGAAATTAGAGCCAGTGGGGCGCGCCGCCGGCCAGGTAAGGCTGGCGGTGCCGGCCCAGCCGTGCCGGCATGCGGAATGTACGCGGACGACCGCGTCACCGTGATGGATTATGCACGTACCCTGCATCTGACTTGGCTGGCGCGTTTAATGACGTTGGGGGGGGGGGGGGGGCGAGGAGGCGGGGGGCTTTGGCCAGGCGAAGCCGGAGGATTGATCGGCTGATGGATGGTTGTCTCGTGCGATTGCCAAATGTCAAACGCGCCCCCTTGATGTGCCGGGTCGCGCCGAATTAACATAGCGAGATTAGCATACAACACAACATTTTCTTGCGTACTAGGTACGCTAACATGCTATCAACGTATTCGCAGCTGACATAGATGCTTTTTCTAGTCTTGTTCAATCTGGAGCCCCCCGCAAGTCTTGAATTGATCCTGCAGCTTACATTCCGATTCCGAACTTAAAGGTTCTTTGTGCGGCTGTCATTGCATTCGCGAACTAAGCAACATTGTCTGATCGGCTCAGCGGCTGTTTGCTGGAGGCCGTGACCATTGTAACTATAGCTACACACACACACACCACACACACACACACACACACACACACACACACACACACACACACACACACACACACACACACACACACACACACACACACACACACACACACACACACACACACACACACACACACACACACACCACACACACCACACACACACACACACACACACACACACACCACACACACACACACACACACACACACACACACACACACACACACACACACACACAACACCACACACACACACACACACACCACACACACACACACACACACCACACACCACACACACACACACACACACACACACACACACACACACACACACACACACACACACACACACACACACCACAACACACACACCACACACACACACACACAAAGTCTTTTCATTCAGCATGGCTCCGCTGGCCTGCAGTGTTGTGTAGTCTGGTTAACTTTGCAATGACCTTAATGAAGTCACACATTTTTATGTCGGCGACATGTCGTCCGAGACATTACGTCACGTATCAAAGGTCAAAGTCGAGTTCGCTGGCCCACTTAGACGACAATGGCTCTTAATACCGTCTGGTATATCAAACGGCTCATAAAGCCCTTTAGAAGCATCGTTATTGCCCGATGAAGCTTCGTTCTCAACCATAACGAAAAATGTAATGTTCATTAAAAGTATTTCTGATACAAGGAACATGCAGTACATCATTTTAGTGCATTAGAGAGACGAAGTACAAAGTCTTTAAATGCTGTATGATCGTGTTGTGTTGTACCGGTGACCCATAAACTAATGTGTTGTTATCCAGGAAACTCCTGCATTATAGGTTTTAAGTCATAACCTCCAAAGAAATGAATGTTTGGGTTAGTTAAAATAAGTGCAGTTAGTTTAACTTATTTATATGTTTAATGTCTCACTTATCTGATTAGTTGGCGTCGTGGCATCTGAACCCTGGGCATGACGCTCGATTTTGCACACGTCAAAATCCTTTTTTTGCGCGCCAATTTGAACTGAAATTCGTGAAAAATTTGAAATCTGGAACCAACGGAATTAGCATTTGTAAAAACGTTTACAGAAGAGCATTGATCGTACCGGTTTTAGGTAAAGCGCTATAGATTTGCATGTTAGCACTGTTTCACATATGTATAAGATGACTGAACTGTTCAGCTTGCATGACCTGAGATTAGCCGATCGGTGATGTACCCCAGATGATCTCCTCGTGTTCAAAAGTAGATTTGCGGGCGTTGCGTACCGAATCTTCCAGCGCACGCCGTCGGGTTGCCCTGGAGGTGGTGCTCGCTTCTCCGCGTTTGTTTTGTGCAATCCAGCGGCGGTAATGGGCGTGCTTTACTAACAGGCTGCTTTTAAAAGGACCGACCAGCCAAATGTTCTCTGAAACTTGTCTTAGCCTTCCTCTAGTCCTCTTGGCGGTTTGGGGTGGTACGATGTTCTGGTATATTCCCTGCTGTTTTCAGACGCTTCTTTTCTTTTCCAGAGCAGGCTAAGACTTGCCCAATATCACTTTGTATTGGGAAGTTTTGGTCGCACGTCAGACGCACACGATAGGCAAATAAGTGCTACCTTAAGACATGGCTTTAATCGACTACCGGGAATGAACTGCCAACCGCGCGGCCAAAAACAAACTCCCCTGCCCACATTCGTATGTGGAAACAACCCATTGAAACACTTACAGGCTTTTGTCATTCAAGTCATGAATAAGTAATAAGGCTTCATCAAGCAGCGTTCTGAAAACGAGGTTTTTTTTGGACACATTGCACGGTCATATTGGGTCGACACGTTATCAACACATCAATGATAAACATGTGCCTACACAGCAGTAGTTCACCACCACTGAGAATCCCACATTACGTCATCAGTGATGATGCGTTCCTGGAACTGGATAGTGGACAGCCCTACATTCCGTTCAGATGTCGTAAAACAATCGTACCTTCGAGCTTTGCGCCGACGAGCTCTGCACCCCCAGGTCGTCCCCTGAAAGCCGTACCCCGTGGTTTTTCCCTGGCCTGCGCTGTACTTCAAGACCCCACCCTGACCGCCCCTGCCCTGTGCCCGACGACGGTGTTCTGACCAGCGTGACCCGCGTGTCCCCAGGTGAGAAGCCGGCGGCCATGCAGACGGGCGGCAGCGGCGCGCTGCCCAGCGCCTTCTCCGTGCTCACGCTGGCGGTGTTGCACCTGTTCGGCGCGCTGCGGCGGGCGTAGCCGCCCCCGCAGCCGGCAGCCCCGCCGGTCGGCGCGCGGCGCGGCGGCGGCGGCGGCGACGGCGGCGCGTGGCGCGGCGGCCGACGGCGCGGCCGACCCACCAGGCTCGAGCGTGCGGGACAGGACGCCGGACCGTGCCACAGGGGCGACGAGGCCGCTGGCTGGTGGGGCTGTCGGCACCAGACTGTGGTGATGAGCAGGTTGGTGTGCGGGGCACTGCGTGTTATTGGACGAAACAGTGCGTCGCAGCCGCGTGTACATGCGCTCATTGTATACACACATACCGGCATATGACGTTAGTCGTACGGTGTGAAATCGAGCTATCTATAAATATGTCAAATTATCGTAAATATCAAATTATCGCCGTTAGTCGCTTTGTGATCTGTTGTGTCTGCTCGCATTATGAAAGCGTGCAGGATGAATGCGTGTGGTCGTGCGACGGATCGACGCTCGGAAGGCATTTTGGCTTCACGATTGATGTCGGCCGGTCGGGCGGCCTGTGCTGTCTGGGTGATGTCTGGAGTCGGATAGTGTCTGGTGAACAGTGTCCGCACACTTTCAGACTGGTATCGTGCACTGTCGAACGATGTTTATACACGCCGTCGGACGGTGTCTTGAGTCGGACGGACAGGTTGGTGCCGAGAGCTCATGCCAGACGAGAGTCCCTTGGACAATACCTGGAAATTGTCAAACCGTATCTGGAACCAGATGTCTCATAAAATGAATGAAGAATGCTGCAAACCGTCGGTCGGTGTCTACAGTATGCCGATGGGTGTCTGGAGTCCGTTGCATGGTGTTTGTTCCCGCCAATATGACGTCGTCAGATATCTCGTAGGATGAACGGACAGGTGTTTGCGCGACACGGTCGTTGATTCCGTCTGGAAGCGTCTGGCGGCTGGCCGGATGCATGAAAACATCAAGAATCCGAAATGGATCAGAAGTATCAGTGTGTCGAAAGTGGTCAGAAGCGACAGTCTCGTACGTGTCGGCAGCCGTCGCTTGCCAGCGGATGATAAATGCGTAAACATGTCACTGCAGGGCGGGCAGATTCGACTCGTGCGCGGGGGGCGGGGTGTCGACTGGCCCGGTGGTGACCTGTGGGCTGACGCATGTGACGGACCTGACCGCGACCCCCGCCGGCTGTGGCACCGCTCACTACCGAGTTCTGGTGATCGGCCAGAACGGTCGCGTGAGTGTTGCTGTTGTGTTCGTACTCGCCGTGCCCGAGGATATGCCGCGGGTCATAAATCTTGTCGACTCGATTTCTGCGTCATATTCGGCGCTCGGACAGAGTCGTAACTCACGTCCATTAATCGCGTGGCTCGCTCGATCACCAGGCTGTAGTTCATTAAATCCCTTTCTAGATTGTGTTCGACTTCAGTCGCGATTCTAGGACATGCTCATGAAGTGAACTGGTGTGCTTGCCAATGCGTAATTCGTTGAATGTTATAAGATTAGCGGAGGAGCTAAATATATGCATTATTTGAGGGACCCGGACCTTTGTCAGGTTATGTGAACTGTTAGACATTGAAGAGTTTCCTGGCTGTGGCTCGAAGATTCCAACGTTGTGCTACATCTTGTTGGACCACCCAAATTAAGACGGCCGTGCAAAGATTCCCCCGTTTCAGTAAAGTATGCCACACACCACGGACCATTCATGAGTTACGGGCTGGAAGGGATCATACGTCGGCAAACCGGTGGTACTACCTTGGCATGCCTGTCGGACATTTAGTGCATACGGTGTTATGTTCTCAAATGCTAGAAGGCAGGTGCGTGCGGCTGAACCTGCGCCCACCTCTGCAGCTTGAAGAGCTGGCCCGCACGCACAGACGGCTGCGCGGACGCCCCCTCACCCCCCCCCCCCCCAAGACCCGACGCTCGCGGACTTGGGTTTCGTCATTCTGACGTAAGTGAGAACAAAATAGTGCCTTTCATTTCAGCGCATAGCAAGCACCGAGAGCACCACAAATGCGGGCGCAGAAGTCGCAGACCACCGACTTCTGACCAGGCCTGAGCAAACAACGGAAATGCCTTCACAGTGCTACCGTACTGCATGTCCTGTCTGCAAAACACGCTCCGTGAAAACGTACTACCACGCAAACTACTTCTACAGGTCTCAGCTAAAAGCATTTCAGTCTGCCCGGGGAGTCTCTTGGAAGCCGGCCTGGAACGGGTATGTTTTCCGAGGCTGACGCCGTTTCGGGTTGTCGCGCGAGTCCACGGTCATGGGTGGCGAGGACAGAACTTTGCGCGGCTTGATGCGACTCTTCCCGCTGAGCTGGCGGGGAGTCGCATCATCGCGGCTTGATGCGACTCCCCGCAGAGCTGGCGAGGAGTCGCATCATCGCGGCTTGATGCGACTCCCCGCTGAGCTGGCGAGGAGTCGCATCATCGCGGCTTGATGCGACTCCCCGCAGAGCTGGCGACACCTCTAGCGAAGCTTGACCGCCAGACCGTCTCCCTGGCCCGCCGAGGAACAGATGACAGAGTGAAGCTACGCGCTCCGCAATGGGGCCACCACGGCAGAAACATGACCTTAATGGACGGGGGGGGGGGAGCAGGGAATCAACTGATTGGTGGGATTACGATCAATACTTCTAGACTGTACGACCCAGACAACATCTGCGTGGGTGATCTTAAGGTCACTCAAAAAAGTTGGAGGTAGCGTCAGGCTAAGGCACTTAGACAACGGCGCGATTGCGTGATGTTCATTAGTTAAAGGGATGCTCCATATTTGTGTGGGGTTTTGAAGTGAAATAGCTATCTCGAAGGTCATTCGGCGTTATTCACAGCCCTGCCTTTCTTAAAGGGAGTGTGTTTAGTGAAGGTGGGATTTATAACTGTGCGCATGGGATGGTAGGGAAATTCGATTAAAAAATTTTGGTGTCATTGATTTCTACCAATTCGCCTCCGCTGACGACACATTGCTACAGCCCCCGCCAAAACATGTATTTGGCTCGTATGGAAGAACGACGTTAACGTGTAGCCCACGGGCCATATTCACTACTAAACACATTGGTGTCATTGAGAAGGCATCGTTAGCCCTAGCCAATGGCTTTTCGAGGATGTCGCTTGTCAGCACTGACAGCAGCTTGCGAAAGCACTGATGGCGGCGACCATTATGCTGATGTTCCTCTTTTTTGTATTCAGCTGAGGGCTGCGGGTGTACGGGGTTACACGCATGGTAATGCTGGTCAGTTGATTCACACCGGGACTGATTCATGTTAGCTTACTTTGTACTGAGATGAGGCGGAAGTATTGCGTCGTGTCATTCGGCTACATTAGGCTCTAAGCAAACGTTATTGTTCTACATTGTTCTGGCAGCACCTATAGGCGGCTAAGATTCCTATGCCCTGAAATCAATGACCGAATTCCGTATGCACGTGCACTGAATTCATCGCTCGAAATACCAAGGCGCATGGGCTGAAATTGTTGCGGCGACGTCGCTGGTAAACCAAACATGTTCAGGGTGTCATAATTTTCGTTTCGGATTACGCAAGGGATCTTCAAGAACGTATCACTCTATGCCGCCAGCGTACTCCCTATATGCACGAGACCGCAGCGACCAAGATAATGGCCATGCCACTAGCGCGCAGTTACTCGCCACATATAAGCTAATGCATTCGTCCTTTCCTCTGCCCGGTGGTTGGCTCATTTTGTACCATTGTATTTGTTCATGCATATCCATTGATGCGATCGATAAAAATAAATAAATAAAAACTACTGCAACACCCAAACATACATTTAAGCACCAAAATGAACAACCATAGATAGTTGCAAAACTCCCCTTAGGCATGTATTTAGAAAATCGAAAACACTAGACACACTTTCTAAGTCCGGAATCCCTCTTCTAGTTTCTGAACTACACGCCCGTGAATATATGCACATTATTTCGGAAAGGCTTTTTCATGGTCACCCAGGCATCCACTATGCCATAATAATGTCATTCAAATTCTGTCATTCAAATAGCCATACGGCGATTAAGGCCAAGAAAATAAAATGGCGTCGTTCATATTTGGCACTCGTGTGCACGATTTCCAGATGTAACGACCGTCAATTGGATCTCAGCTAATTTTGTGCAAGGTGCGATAACGTAATCAAGCAATGACGTATTGAGGAGCATATTTACTACACATAGACATTGGCTTGTCTATAGCGGTCTCTTCCACTTAAAAATATATGAATAGTTACTAATGAGCCTATTTCATCATATCTGATGCCCCTTCAATGTTTTCAAATGTGGAACACTTCCTTTAAGGCCAGTCTGAGTGCTCCAAATATGTGCATGTGCCGGCATGGTCGCCACTATGCCGCACGATCGGAGCTCATTTGGAGAAAGACCTTTGGTCCTGGCAGCGCGATACTATGGGCTGGCCATGCCGGGTTTTTACCCATAGTCGTTTCTGCGATGTATTAATGCATTGAAAAACTTGTAAAAAGCTTTTAAAAACGGTTCGATAAGGTTTTAGCAGATATTGCACAATTCTGCAAGGAATAATTTTTTGTCGCGTCTGTGTCAGAGATGCCACCGAATGTTTTTAATCAGTTTGGAAAGTTTGGCAGAAAGAGATATGACATTAAAGCTGTCTATGAAAGCATGATTTGCTTATAGCCAGTTGACTGCAATTTTATCAGATAATGCGTCTTTACATACATGTGATTAAATCTTTTCGAAGTATCTTTAGCCAAAAATTGCTGATAAAGTGTGCGGTTAGGAGATAAGCGCTGAAAGTTTTTGAAAAAGTTTAAAAACGTTTTGCACCGTAATCCTTTGCAAAGCACCCAATATGTAGTGTGACGTATGCTTGGTGGTTACCAACTCTATGCTGTGTGCAGAGAGTAGCATAAAATTGACCTAGAATGACCTTTTGTGCTAAGCCACAAGTGGGAGTGCTTCAAGTATTTCATATGCGTTTGTATAGTGCTTAAATTGCATGAACTTATATATATATATATATATATATATATATATATATATAT